ACCGAAACTACCGTGCGTAATCTGCAACGTTACACATCACATCACATCGGGCTCACCAGTGTAAATCACCAACGTAGATGATCTATGTCGAAAATGATCGGAGACCTACTCCAGTTAGACGTGAATGGTGTGACAAACTACCGAACACCGAATTAACACCTCGTGGTCAGCATCCTACGTGGACTACCCCATTGACGTATCAATGTACCATAGATGCTTTGAAGACTGTACAACACAGGGGACGGCATTACAGAAATATATTATTTGTAGTAGATACAAGCGAAATTAAGACCACTGCCACATCGGCCAGTCCATGGCATATGATTAACTGATGCGTTTTGGCTGTCCCTGACCTTGACGAAGATCGATGATTTGCTCGATATTCAATGACCCAACTGCCGTATGATTTGGCTAGGACTTAGTGACATTTCGCTGGTCCTACATTCAAGTTTATCTCTGCTTTAAATATTGAATATCTATTTTCCCATTTGTCTCGTGTTCATGTTTGAGGATTGAGCGATTAGGGCTCAATGCCACTACAAGCCGACCGCCATTATTTACAAAGATGGTGAATATAATTATTTCCGCTTCATTCTGATTGTTCGCTAAGCAGCCTGCTACGATTACGAAATCAAATTGAGTTTAATTGTAGTTTACTATACCGTTTTGGTACTATAGGTTTATAATCTTCATTTGGTCCTAGTAATTACGGGGACACGCTCAAGTTCACTCTAGCGTCGCTCAAAGGTGACCCATAAATAACAGTTTCACCATTGTGAGGTTCTACAATCAAGTTCGTTCTTTATATTGATCAACCAAAAACAAGAAAATATTTGCACAAAAGTTTATTAGAAAGCCACTGTTTGCACAGGAAGTTTGTATTCGTGGTTGTGAATAACTACCAATACAATGTAATAAATTCTACATGTATTCTATTAGTCTTTTGCGTAACTAGGGGTGTTGGGATGGTCAGCGATGGAACTATTCCCGAAAATGCACATTCATTCATAACACGAGTATCTCATGAATAACTTGCGATCACTCCTATCGTTTGATAAACAAGCAGCCATTTTAATGATCATAAGTGTGGGCAATAAATGTATAAGTTCTATTAATTTTTCAAGCGAAGAAAAATTATTTACAATGAATACATGAAGAGAGGGTTGTTAGTTTGCGAATAGCAAACCACTAAGAGCAAAAAATAGGTAGATCCTCTGATCTTTGACGATAGAGCACAGATAAAAATTGTGAGTCAATGCCTATTCATATAATACAGGTAACTGACATCAAACACGCAGTTTTATTGGTGTATCCCGAAACGAAGGCTTAGCGAAACCAGTCTAATGACGGTAAAAATTAACTGCTATATGATTTCTAGGCAGTACAACATTACAGAAATTGACCCAGTAGCATAATACACTAAGTTCAGTGTTGCGGCATCTGGTAGTCAGTCTGTACGATTATTCGCTTTTGCCACAGAATCGTAATCGTAGCACACCAAAATCTCTGTTTCACAGCTATACAAGACTGCACAGTACACTCTCCCTGCCGTAACACTGTAAGAACAAGTTTATGTAAAACTGAAAAAAATACAGTATTAAAACTTCTTGTTATCAAGAATCATAGCTATGGACTCTGAGAACAATTAATTCAGACGATGCAGCTTCATAGTTACCACCGACTGAACTCATAACTTGTGTACACATGTCTCCCGATACCTCATAGAATGAACAAGTTAGTTTACTGGCCAGAGGTTTAATAAGAGCATGGAATAAGTGGTAGTTATTAGTGAACTTGTAACAGCTAAAGTTGGTTGGTTCAGAGTTGACCCCAAACAACCAAGCATACGCCAAAACAGTATTGTTCAAGTATTCATTCACTTCCTTGTTTTGTATAAGCGTTATATTCCCTATTATCTTATATTGAATGTTGAGAGCCTTTGTTTGTCTGAACAGATAATCCCATGCTCCACTGTCACCGCGCGAAGATCGAAATAAAGACCTATTCACTACTTCTCTGGTTTCTTCTATCAATAGCACGAGGGTTACCTTAAGGCACGAAACTGGTGAGCCCGACGTGATATTGATAGAAGAAACCAGAGAAGTAGTGAATAGGTCTTTATTTCGATCTCAAGCACATCTTTACTCCCTGTAGAGCTTGACACGTTGTTTACCGAAGACCAAGCTCATTATGTAGTTTCTTGCCCACCGGCTACTTTGTCGAAATAAATATAAGATTCTTCTGGAAACGAGGAAACACACCTCCAGGAATTAGATCTTTGGAATCTGCATACAAAATATGACCACATGGCAGCATATAATCATTGAGACGCCCACAAGTGTTAACAATATACATTATGCCCTTGTCGTAGAAGCGGATGTATTCTTTTGTTATTAATTCGTATCTCATTCTCCCAACACTTTTATGGTTTACAGTGACCTTGGCACCTGAAATTTATGATACACATAACTACATTCCTTACCTCAAGCTCTATCGTACTTCAGACTTTCCAGAACGTAAGTGGAAGAGAAACACCTCTTCTGGGACATTCTTTTAAGTGTTTATGACCGGCTCTCGGGCTTAGTACATGTCACTGGAAACAGCGAGCTCACACTGACTTCCGAGCAACCCAGTGATCTTTTATGTATTCATAGGCAATTGGAAAATGAGTTCTCAGGTGCTCGTACTTCTGCGTAAACCTGAATAAAATGTATTATTAAAAGCAGAGCTAACATGTCAGATCGCTTGGTTTTTATAAGGTGTTACAAGCATTCGCGAACATGGAGATTTTTGAACTACAGCAAATAATTTATACAGTTAACATTTACCCTCCCGAAAAATGTTCCTAAGACATGTGATAAACACACTATTACGTCGGCATGACTGTGCGTAGACTGTACCGCGGATATTTTGGTCGCTGCCGAATATACAGAAAGTGCGTGCATCACAAGCCAAGAACAAATTACTTATCAGCTGACTATCGACTTTCCCATCGAATCATCAACGAGTGGAACTCATTACCTCAGAAAAGTGTTTTCTATCGGTAATGAGGAACGACCAATGATTCATCGTGACCGTGACGGCTCGCTGATGGATCCTGTAGTTATTGAGAAAGATACTGTTTTAAGGCGACTTCAGCATCTCAAACCTGATAAGTCCAGTGGTCCCGATGATATTCATTTTAGGATTATGAAAGCCATATCAGATGAAATTGCTGAACCATTAGCGATACTATTCGACATGTCTCTGAGACAGTCCAGACTTCCTAAAGACTGGAAAGACGCCATAATAAGTCCGGTGTATAAGGCTGGGAGTAGGGATTTAGTTAGTAACTATAGACCCGTTAGCTTAACTAGTGCAGTTGTGAAACTGATGGAGAAAATCATTCGGATAGCTGTTATAAACTATGTTAAAGGGCAAAATCTTTTCTCCAGGGCACAACATGGTTTTTGGAAAGGCCTGTCTTGCTTGACAAATCTTCTCATTGCACGAGAAGAGTGGGCTGCGGCAAAGGATCGGAATGCTCCTGTGGATGTAATTTTCATAGATCTAAGTAAAGCCTTTGATAAGGTTTCACACTCTGGTCTTAAATTCAAACTGAAACGTTTTGGAATCCATAACACAGTCGTCGATTGGATAAGTAACTTTCTCCATGACAGGAGACAAAGAGTAAGGGTTAATGGGGCTCTCTCTTCGTGGGTACCTGTAAAAAGTGGTGTTCCCCAAGGCATAATCCTAGGTCCTCTTCTCTTTTTACTTTATGTAAATTAATTGCCAACTGTAGCAAAATCATCCGTTCTACTCTTCGCTGATGACATAAAGATTTGGAGACCCATACATAGTATGTCGGATAGAATAGTATTACAGGACGATCTTAGCTCATTGGTGGCATGGTTAGACAGGTGGTCACTAGAAGTAAATCCTAATAAGAGTGTAGTGATGCAGTTAAATAACTCTGGTGAATCGTATGACTATACACTACGTGGATTCGTGCTACCCAAAGCAAGAAACTATAAAGACTTAGGAGTTATATTAAGCAATGATCTCAAAACGACTAGTCACTGTAAGGCTTCTGCTGCAAAAGGCTTTAGGGTATTATGGTCAACTCGTAGGTCTTTTCAGTATTTAGATGATGAAATGTTTGGATTACTATACCCGATTTATGTGCGACCACATTTAGAATACGGGATTCAAGCAGCGAGTTCTTGTTTCAAATATGAAGCAGATATGCTATAAAGAGTCCAACGACGAGTTAATAAGATGGTACAAGGTCTAGCTGGCCTATCTTATGAAGACAGACTGAGACACCTTAACTTATTTCCGTTATCTTACCGTAGAGTACGGGGTGATCTAATATTGGCTTATCGTATACTGAACGATGACCTTGGTATTAACATGTCTTATCTTTTGCTTCCGTCTAGAAGCGATCATTTCAGAGGACATTCGAAGAAAGTTCAAAAACCGAGATCAAATCGTTTACGTCTGGAGTTCCGTTTCTCACACCGAGTAGTGAATTACTGGAATTCCCTACCGGAACACGTAATATCAGCACCGTCGGTTAATATATTCAAAACGAGATTGGACCTCCACAGTATTACACACTGTAAGGATTAATATAGGTCGACAGACCTTCTATCCTTATTACTGAAGACTGAAGCACGTGGTTGAGGCTGCATCCGTCGACTCTTTCAAAAGAAAGTTGGATCAACTGAGAGACCACCATTGCCAGGACTGACACAGGCTATCAGGCCTCCTGTCCTTCTCAAACCAAAAACTGAAACTGGAACTTATGTACTTCATTCAAACGGGTTTCATGGTTTTCCCAACTAGTAAGTCGTCGCGATAACATAATGTCATAGAAGATTCGTCCTGTATCATGCATTATTACTATGACATCACTTTCGTCACTTGAGGGATGGATGTTATCAGACGTAGTGTGGCTGAACCCAAATCAAATCGAAAAATGTCTTGATTTTACCGCTTTCGTACATCCTTACTAACTGTCGATATGACGCACCAATCATCTTGCGACAGTTTGACCTTCAAGTGCTCCCAACTTTCAAAATGAACGACAGCCCTGAGGCGTTGCCCCCCACATCAGTGGACTTTAACCCTGAAGCGTTGTAACAGTACTACTGAGGCGTTACCAGAATGTTATTGGGAAGGTCTTCCGTCTTTTTCTCCATATTAGTATCATGCTGGTCTTACGTTTTCATCAATTCGCTGTCTTTAAGCGGTTCAGTCGCCTTTGAAGTTAGATCTTTTCTTCACAATGATATGGTCGTCGATGGTGGTGCTCATAATGTTTTCTGGTTCGTACATGTAAGATAAACTTACTACTTGTATAAAATTTTAAGATCACAGATTTGCATTTTAGCGAGTTTGGTTCTAAAGACAGACAGATGGACTTCTTGGAGTTTTGTTCTACACACATTCCTGTGATTCGACCTGAAGTCGTAATCGCATCAGGTATATTGTTTCACTACAATTTATTTGCATAAGGTGATATTACTGATGGCAAGGGTAAGACGTTCTCGTTATCTTTACAAAATCTGGAGGAATGGGAGGATTATTCGTCACTTCTGAAACAATCTGGAGTACTAAATTTAACTAAGTGGCTTGACGTACGGGGGAATCATGGTTAGATTTAATCATCACTTTGATATTCCTTTAGATAGTTTTGACGTTCCATCATTTGGTGGTTATGGTGATTATTACAGGTAAATCACAGACTGTCGTTACTAATTGGCGGTATAATAGTTTGTTCATCTTTTGTCAATTTGTAACCGAAATAGCCATACTAACTTAGTGATTTCCTCATTTGATTCACTGATCGGTGGTGTTAAGCTTCTTTATTTAGACAAGTTCGGACAACGTAGTGATTTATGTCTCACTACTATTGACTTCGGAATCACTGTAATTCGTCTGATAGTCTTGAAAAGCTCTCTGTACTATCCGTTATTTGGTTTTTTTGTCGGAATGAATTGAAGTTACCAGTCAGGCGAATCCTTTGTGTCAGACTCTGCTATTCGAGTCTTATGCTATAGCAGTCTTGAAATACTTTGATTATCTTATTAGAGTATTTGCATTTTTTGATGCACCTTGTGTAACATAAGAATCGTAGTAAACTTATCGACATGATTCAACGTAATAAGTAAAACGTCTTGTGTTTTTCGTTGTCATTCCAGTCGATTTGGTGTAAGGGGCGGATCTTCGTTAAAGTCGCGCATATTCAAACTCGTAAAACCATATGGTCAATATTCTTTCATAAGTATTGATTTATCCACTGAACCTGGATTGAAATGGCCTTTTAATTTTTTCGGTAGTTTTAACTTGGTAAGTTGTGTCTGTTACTGGACATCATTACTATTCAGTTTATACATTTGTGATATTTGGCAACTTGTATTGTAGCATAAAATAGACTGACTAACTCACTAGAGTGCGTTTTATATGAGACCGTACTATAATCATCTCAAACCTGGTCGAATCGTGACGATTCTAAGTGTTTGTCAGCGCTCTTGTTTTCCGTAGTAATCATAAGCAAAGCTCGAAGTGACTTAAGTGAGGTAGGTGGTGGTCGGCATATGTAACACGTCTTAATCACCCCAGTTGATGAAGACTTACTATTCCGTTGATCGATTTTCCATCTTTACCTGGTACTCTATTTCTAACCCAAGCATTGCTTACTCCGTGATCCCGAAATACACGAGCAATGCCTTGTAGGCACCGATGATTGAATATCAGTAACCTGCTAATATCCTGTACTCCTAATGACCATGCTGAGGCCACTGTCAATAGGTTGAAAGGTGCTCACCAATACATTAACTGCCGAGTTTTGCTTTTGCGAACCACACCAGTCCATTTTAAAGAACTTCCTGATTAGTTGAAGGCGTTCGAGTGCATGATTTCAACAGTTGAATTGACGAGTCAATCTAAGCAATACCGTCATTGGAAACCTTGAAACACTAGACGGCCGTTTCTTCCTAGTATGGGACTCAGCAGTGCTCAACCACATTCCCGCACGCGGGACTCGAACGCATCACCTTCGGTCTCGCGCACGAACCCTTAACCTCCCCATAAATCTCCATATTTTATGACTTCATGTGTAATTGTTACAGAGTGTTTGTATTCTTTTCCCATGCATCTCACGCTTTTATGGATTTAGTAGTAGTTTGATTGGTTATTTGGATTTTCGGACTGTAAAGGCTGTATAGAATCTAGCACATGGGCTAAGTATGATATTTATAATCGTTATGTGTCACATTTCGTGTTGCTTGTGTAGATTGCTAACAGTGATTCCCGATCTGAAAGTTTAGCATACCGTTTGTTTGTTGTTTGTTGGTTCTTCCTATAGATTACCTATTGAATAAAACTAATTGCCAGTTGTAGTGTTTCCAAATAGAAAGAACTTTTTCGTGGTGTCGTTCCAAACTTCACTACCTTAGCTCTTTAGTTTTCACGTGATGCCCTCTCGAGATGTGTGACGCGTAGTTTGCACTGTACAACATTCAAAGGAAGGGTGTGGCACTAATGTTAATGGTCAGTAGTTTTTTACAGGTAACGCAGTTTATCGTATCCAATACATAATATGCTAGATATATATATCGTGCTTATGTGAGGTACTGTGACTGATACTCTGGATTCTACGTTGTATATAATTGATCCACTAGTTATAGCAAACATATGTTTGTAATATTTTTGATTTATTGTAAACTGTTCATATTTTCTTTTCTTTTGTTCTATCAACATTTAACCTAATATTACAGAATGTTAAAAGACAGTTGTTAAAATCGATTGATGAAGCTAAAGATAGTAATCAGACATTTGTATTTGGACATTATCCAACTTCCACGGTTGTTTCGAGTGATTCGAATTTGGGTACAGTGATTGGGTAGGTTTTATATCATTCGACTTTAAGTTTTCGGTACTTAACTGTACCAAAAATAATTGGTATTTACACTTTTTAGATTTCATTCGATTAAAGAATTCACCACAGAATACATAGTTTTCTCACTTTCGCATAGGTTTTCTTGACAATAAACACGTCCTTTCGCATTGTTTTTCTCAAGTAGCTAGACTTCAAAAGCTATTCATGAGCCAACTTATAGGTTAATATGATTACTTTTTGTTGCACCGGAATGATTGTTGCTACTAGATCAACTTCGAGTAAAGTTCCACAACAATTTCAGTTGCAAGCATAATAATCTAGTCAGTCAGTCAGCTACAACGTAGGACCAGGCACATATACGCATCGATCCAAGTTGTCATACCTCGTTAACACAACAAGATAATAATCTATTTTATTAATTATCAGTTCTTTTGTATTTGAACTACTTAATTACAGGACTATTATCTTCCTGACCATAAACACTTAGGTCAGTATTTCACAGCCCATTATTTTCAGTACTTCACTGTACACTTTAAAAATATTTAGGCGTAAAAGTGTTTGGTTCGTTGGAAAACGTGAAACTTAAAGAACTTGTCGAAGAAAGGTATACTGTTAAGTGCTTGTTGCGAAAAATTCAGTTATTCTTAATTAGCTATTTAACTAGTTTAATTCCTTTCCAAATGTTCACACAGTGATTCTAACTCTGTAACTATCTCTTGCAAGACTAGCTCATTCTCTATTAATCTGCTGATTCGAAATAGCCACTAACTTGTTCATTGTGTATGGTGTTTATTCGTTATGAGTTTGTGTTATCCTGTTGTTGATATTCAGAACTAAATTTCGATCAGTTTGATTAGTAGTAATATTGTTTGTACTGACGTTTTGTACTCACGCTCAGGATCCGTAATTAGTGACTAAAATAAATTGTAGCTTTCCAGGGCTTACGTGTTGAGCTCTTTCTGTAATAAATTTAAATATTGAAGTACTGTGAATGATTTACTTCAAAATGATTTCTAGTTATATTTTCATTAGAAACAAATAAAAACAGTCTAATCTCCAATATTCTGAATTATAACAATATACAGAGTTATGATCTCTTGCGTGATTCTTTCTCATTTCGCGCTTTTTATGTTCAAGATATCCAGCGCGTGTTCATTGGAATGGAGATACATGTAGTAGATAAGGCAACTATATATATTTTATTATTAAATTTCAGATTAATGGCTAATTGTTTTTCTTATCCATCAGTTGTTAACAACAGTGTTGGATATCGGCAATAAGAAATACTCAAACTATGCTTTAATTAAATTCAATTTGTATGTCTGAATTTTGATTCAGAACACAGTTTCTCATAAATGCTATGCGTATTTTCTTTATTGCAGAGATAGTGCATTTGCTTATTTATGCGGTCATTTGCATACGTTGTTTGGGTTGGCTAAGAAGATGTATTTTTTACAGCCTCAAGGATATTGGGAATGGGAATTAGGTGATTGGCGTGAAAATCGTTAGTAAGTTATGTGTTTTACTTCTCATTGTTGCGTTTCCCTTCTTTTAATTTACATACTCGTGTTCTGTGATGTTGAACCGTACGACTGAATTATTGTAATTTTGTTAACCACTTAGTTGCTAAGACTGTTAAGGAACTCAACCAGAAGTGTATAACGAGAAGAATCGTGTAGAGCGACAAAACGTATGCATCGATCCTTAGGGTAAGCACTGGTTTCAACGGTACTACTTTCCGGAGCTTTACGAATATATATTGATTTATTATGTGGGTTTATGAGACCTAACTAATAGGTAGAATGCTTACCATTAGAAATAGTATAGTCATTATGAAGATCCAATCAGAATGTATATTTCCGCCTCTGGAAATCAGTTATAAAATGTCACAGTATGGAAATCCTGAGTAAACTGCTGAATCATATAGTATTACCAAAACACGTTTTCTGTATTTCTACTGTTGTATTGTTTTTGCACTTGGGCACTATGACTGAGGTATTTCTTGGTGTCGGTTTTAGCATCACTTTGTCTTACAATTAATCAAAGGTTCATCTTTTATTGTGCGCAACTCCACTACTTTCTCCTAAACATTATCACCAGTCCATAGGTGTATGTCACATTACAGTAATATAACATTATTTAGGTAATAGGCTTATCCCTTAACTTAGATAGGTGCTTACTGCTAAGTCTTGAGCATCGTATATTCGATATTATGTAAGGTTGCACACTGTTAAGTCTCAAGATAGGATGGAGCTTTAAGTAAGTCTTACCCGATTTGTAGTGCTTTTTCTATTGGTCTCAGTTTAGAGTTTGAGCCATGTGGTTATCTAAGTTGCTTTAGTGTTATTTTGTTATTAGTAGGACTCTAATATTTTTCTCCACAAACTACTTATACCAGTCCGTTGAATAACTGTCTGACTTGACGAATCACATCATGCTACTTGTAATGAACTCGTTTGTCATGTAATGGAGTTTGAATATTTATTTGGACGTGCTATAAGTAACTTGTGCATATATGTATGTATATATGACTCATGTGTATATTAAATTTTTGTATCCCTTCTTTATTGATTTCCAGCTACCGGATTGTAGCTGTTGACAACGATTTGGTGTCGTTTGTAGATGTGAGGAAACTCTCGCTTAATGATTCAAGCAAAGAATGGCCTATTATTTTAATCACAAATCCGAAAAACGTTAACTTTTTACTCCCAAAAAAAGAACCATTCCACAGGATAGAGTTTTCTACGCACATAAGGTAATTAATATTGATTTTTAATAGTTTAATCACGTTGAATACATCGTCTGTCGTTGATGCATATACAGCATACTTCTTAGTTACTCCATTCATATCTTTTATATCTTCTGATAGAACGAGACGCCGATACACTAGAATCCATGCACTCAAGCAAAGGTATAATAACTCTACAATACCGCATTTAGCAAGTTTACTATGCGACGGAGAGGTTGTAGGAGCTTACTTAGGCGAATAAGATTTCGAACTGGTAAATTATGTTTCTCAGCGTACTTGCAGTTGTAAATACCGCAGTTATTCCCTGAGCACTTGAAAACTTGACATAGGGTTTTCAATAGTCATTTGTTGATTTAGGAGCATAGTGAAGAGCTTTTAACTTTCTTTTGGTAGTGATTTCATAACCGTCAATATAGTGGTGGTAATTATTATGATTGCTATTAACACAATTGAAAGTGCGTTTGCTAATAAGCAATTTCAGGCGAAATATGAAATCAATACAAATTTGAAAAAAGACAATCCAGAACTTTTCATTGTAGTATGAAGCTGGAATAGTATTAGATAGAAGTACAGACTAATCTTGTCATGCAAATATAAATTCACTAGATGTTACATTTGTGCAGCTCATTGACCAAGTATACGCTTTGAGCTAATTATTTCATGTGAGCACTGAAGATCCTACTCCCGATTGTCAAGATCGAAATTAATTGAGCGAATTTGGAACATCCACCCTAAGGTTTGTAATTGAAGGTGTTCCACACACCAAACCGCAGCCTCGTAAGCAATAATTTATGCATGATATATGAATTATATTCACCACTTATATTCAGAGCTGCAACCATCTTAAAATTGAAAGGAATGAATTACTATGATCCAATTTAATTGTATAACTTATCTGGATAATCGTTTTGTGCGTGAAGTAAAAGTAAAAGTTGAGAAATATTTCAAAGTTTAAATCAACTAATCGAGTTAAATATTTTTCTTCAGTTCTGTTTCGGTTCGAGTACTCGGACAGCATCCCAGACTGCACACAAATTTAATGATAACTAATTTTTGGACTCAATTTTCGGTGCACTTTTGTATCAATGTTTATGTATTTAAATAAATAATAAGTCAGACCACATAAGTGTAAGGTTTGTTACACTAAGTATGTAAATAGTAGAATGTTTATTTGAAAAAATAAAAATAAACTACTCTAGTTTTACAGTTCAAATGACTGATATACGAATATTGTTTGAGTTATAACTATTACATAGAGTTTAGATTTCAAGCCTTAAATAGTTTACTGTTTAAAATATATAAACTGGGATTTTTCGAATATCAAGTAGAAGGTTATATTGTTAGTTTTGTTTTATCTCGACAGACATAGTAAACCACATTACTTCGATAAGTAGAGTAAAATATGCAATCAATGTTGTGATATATAATTATAGAATTGTTTCATTTACTTACTTCTATTTCCCCTAGTTGAGGATTATAGGCTTCCCACCATCATTCTTCATCCAACTCTGTCCTTAGCAGTCCTTTCCATTCGCTATTTATCCTTTCAATGTCTGTGTCCAATTCTCAGCGCAGTGTGTTTTTGGCCTTCCTCTTTTCCGTCTCCCCTCAAAATTGCAAGTTTGTGCTTGCTTTGTGATGCAGTGTGATGATTTCCTCATTTTACGTCCTATCCACTTGGAGCGTTTTTTCCTGACTTACTCTTCAGCCGAAAACTGGTTTGTTCTCTCCCACAGTGGGCTGTTGCTGATGGTATCCGACCAAGGGATATTGAGTATCTTGTGTAGATAATTGGTTTCAAGCACCTGAACCTTTTTGATTCTGGTTGTAGTAGTTTTCCAAGTTTCAGCTCCGTATACTAGAACTGTCTTGGTATTCGCATTGAAAATTCTGAATTTGATGTTGGCTGACAGCTGTTTCGAGTTGCAGATGTTCTTCAACTGTAGGAATGGTGCCCTCGCTTTGCCAGTCCTTGACTTCACATTTTTACCAGATCCTCTTAGTTCATCGATGATACTACCCAGGTACGTGAAAGATTCCATATCTTCCAGAGCTTTTCCATCAAATGTGGTTGGTTTTGTGTTCTCCGTGTTGTATTTGAGGACCTTGGTTTTCCCCTTGTGTATGTTGAAGCCTAATGCTGCAGAGGCTGCTGCTACACTGTTTGTCTTCATCCGCATTTGTTCGTGTGTATAAGATAGAAGGGCCAGTTCATCTGCGAAGTTTAAGTCGTCTAGTTGGATGCAAGCTGCCCATTGTATTCCATGCTTCCCCTCAGGTGTGCAGGTCTTCATAATCCAGTCGACCACCAGAAGAAAGAAGAAGGGGAGAATAAGCAGCCTTGTCTGACTCCAGTCCTCACATGGAACACATCTATCAACTGTCCTTCATGCACAGCTTTGTAGTGTAGTTCGTCCTATGAATTCCGGATGATATTGACGGTTTTCTCAGCTACTAACACCATAGTGTCATACAAGTTTTCATAAGATCCTCCTGTTCACACTATCAAACGCCTCCTCATAGTTAATGAAGTTGATGTGTAGTGACGAGTTCCACTCAACCGACTGTTCAACAATGATCCGTAGTGTCGCAGTTTGGTCTGTGCACGACCGATCCTCAGGGTATCCGGCCTGTTGATCTCGAATCTCGATTTCCACTGAGTTTTTCATCCCGTTCAGCAACAGTCTGTTAAAGACTTTCCCTGGTACTGACAGTAGTGTAATGCCTCTGTAGTTTTCACATTTGCTCAGATCTCCTTTCTTTGTAGTCTTGATGAGGTATCCTTCTTTCCAGTCCATCGGCACTTGTTCCTCCTCCCAATTCTTTTTGAATAGGTGAAGCGTGTTTTTAGTTACTTCGATGTCTGACTTCAGTGCTTCAGCTGGTATATTGTCGGGTCCTGCTGCTTTCCCGCTCTTGATTTGTCTGATGGCCATTCCGATTTCTTCCGTCGTTGGTAGATTGACATCTTTGGGAAAATCTGTGTGTGCTGGTTCGATTTCTGGTGGATTCAGTGGAGCTGTTCTGTTGAAGAGTTCCTCAAAGTGTTCTACCCACCTGTTCCTCTGTTCTTGAATCTGAGTGATTGGCTTGCCTTCTTTGTCCTTGACTGGTCTTTCTGATTTAATATATTTCCTTGTCGTTTTCTTCGTTCTGTTATATAATTGTCCGATATTTCCTTCTCTTGCAGCTTTTCCTCCTGTCGTTGCTAGATCATCCACATATTTCTGCTTGTCAGCTCCAGTGCTCCTCTTCACTTGCTTGTTTGCTTCTGTGTATTCAGCTGGTGCCTTAACTTTCTCTGTTCTTGTTCGGTTGTTGTTAATTGCTGTCTACTTGTCCTTCGTTTCTTGAATCTTGTTCAGGGTTTCGATAAAGATCCATTCCTTATGATGATGTTTCTTGCAGTGCAGAACCTCATGACACGTTGAAGTTAGTGCTTCCTTGATCTCTTTCCAGTTGTCCCTCGTGGTAGTTTCTTCTTCTTTGAGTAGATTTTGTAAGACTTGGAACCTTGTTGTTGAGAGCTATCTTGAATTGGTTGAGATTGTCAATATCTCAAAGAAAGGCTGTATTAAGCTTTTGTGATGTTTTTTCCCCAGTTGTCCAGTTTTTCTTTAGCTTCAGTATTAAATTGGCCAAAACTAGGTGTTGGTCTGAAGTTATGTCAGCTCCTCTCTTGGTTCTCACGTCTTCCATTGACTTTGTGAGTTTTTTTAGTGATACAAATATGATCTATCAGGTTCTTTGTGGTTTTGATCCGGTGAGACGCATGTAGCTTTATATATACGTTTGTGTGGGAATATTGTGCCGCCCATAACCATTTTGTCGAATGCACATAAATTTGAAAATCTCACCATTCTTGTTCCTTTCTCCTAGTCAGCTCATGTTGTCCTATGATATTTTCATACCCAGTATTGTCCATTCCGACTTTGGCTATTAGGTCTCCCATCAGGTTGGTCAGGTCCTTTCTTGGACACTTCTACGTTTGACCTCAGTTTCTCATAAAACTGGTCTTATCGTCTTCATTGTTATCTGTTAGGTTCGTTAACCTTGAGGATACTACTGATTCGACTTATTCGGAACGGAACGAAGGCTCAGGATTCAGAGACTCAATAGACTATTCTGGTCCGTTGTCTTCGACTCAGCTAACTCGATCAAGAAGTCTTGGTAAGGCGTAGAAAGTGTATTCTACAGACAAACAGCAGATAACAAGGCAGGCAGATCAGATCAAGCATACAAGTCAAGCGTATTTATACAATTATTTACAATCGATATTATCATAGGAAATTTTTAAACATTAATCAATGAGTTCATCAATTGACCTATTTGCGCATTTAATCGATAGTTCATCAATTGACTGCTATTCAAACATTTAATCGATAGTTCATCAATTGACCCCAATACAAATATTTAAACGTTTAATCAATAAGTTGATCGATGCGATAAAATTCAAAATATGAGTTTGGGGATCTATCGTCCCCAATACTCCTCCCCTTTTTAATAGCGGGCTTTCCTGGGGTCAACCTGCATCTTGACTGTAGCTCGCCGTTCTCTCATAGGCCATCGTCTGGGACGTGTTTCAGATTGTTGTTGGGGTTTTTCTTGTGGTAGGGTTGCCGGTAAGTTGAAAGTATCAAGCAAGATGTCGAGAGGAAGATTTAATCCTGTTGATGGGTGGTCTTGGGCTATCCGCTTACGTAGTTGATTTCGGTGTCTAGTCCATGTGTCTCTTCCCACCTTTACATTGTACATAACTTGGCCTAGTCTTCCAACCACACGTGCTTCGATCCAAGGACCATGATTCGCTGTGTAGTCTCGAGCGAACACAGGGCATCCAACCTCGTACTCTGGAAGCTTCTGAGATTTGGTCTGAGATGGTGGTGGTGTGGTTCTTGGGCACATGAGACTGTGGATCGTCCTCAATTTCCTTCCCATCAGGATCTCTGCCGGGGACTTCTGCTGTGGTAGCATATCACTAGGTGTTGTTGGGTAAACAAACAAGAAATTCTGCAGTGTTTCTACTGGCGTCCCCTCCCCTTTCGACTTCATTAGAGCTCTCTTGAATGTATCCACAAATCTTTCTGCTTGTCCATTTGACTGTGGGTGGTAAGGTGGAGAGCGGAAATGCTTGATCGATAGGCGTTTGCAAAATTCTTGAAATTGGCTTGAGGTGAATTGCGAACCGTTGTCGGAAACGATTATATCCGGTAACCCATTGCGAGAGAACATCTCTGTCAACAGTTGCATCGTTTGGGTTGTCGTTGGTGGCATGACGGGAACGATTTCTGGCCATTTCGAAAAGGCGTCAACAACGACTAGATAGGTGATTCCATTAATTGGGCCTGCGAAATCGACATGTATCCTGGACCAGGGATACTCAGGCTGTGGCCATGGGACTGGTAGTATTTTCGCGTTACACTTAGCTGCTTGCTGACATTGTGTGCACTTGCTTACTAAATCCACGATATGTTGGTCCATGAGGGGCCAATAAGCATAGCTTCTGGCGATGGATTTCATTCGTTTTATACCAGGATGACCAGTGTGGAATTGCTTTAGCACCTTAGATCTTAGGGATTCTGGTACCACTACTCTATCCCCAAACATCAAGCATTCGTTTACGACGCATAATGAGTCCCGACGGTGGTAAAGCTGTTTCAAGTCACCATCGAGTCCAGTCGGCGGCCAGCCATTTGTGACGTATTTCATCGCTCTCTTTATGATGGAGTCGTTCTTGGATGCAGATTGTATTTCAGCTGCTGAGACTGGCAAAGCACGAATAGCAGTTGTCAGGTAGCACTGCGCGTAGTCCTCTGTCATCAGGGAGGCAATAACTGTATCTTCGCCGGCCGTATGGTGTTCACTGGTTGAAAACTCCGTCAGTAGTTCTTTCGAATATGTTTCAGGTTCATGAGGTTGTTTCACCAGATGGCATACGGTGCTTAAAGGAACGTCAGCTAAATGTAGCTGGTCAAACCAGTCTAACCCAAGTAGATTAAGATCAGCTGGTGTGATGTAACATACACCGGTAAACGTCGAATCGTGAAAAGACACTTTACAATCTAGTTGTCCCAACAAACGTAGGTAATTACCGCATGCAGTTCGAGGTTTTTGTGTTGTTGGAACCATGCGTGGTCTTCCCATTCTGATCCAATATTTTCGTGAGAGAATTGTTACATCAGATGCAGTGTCTATTTGCAATCTAAATGGGTGCCCATTAATATTAAGGGTAATAAATTTCCTCTCAACTGGGCATGAGTTCTCACAGCTTGCTATTAGACTCAACGAATTCGTGTTGGATCTAGGCGTAGGCTTCCTGGTACCTTTGGAGTTGCTTGGCTTCTTTTTTCGACAAAAACCATCTTTATGACCCACCGTGTTACATTTCCTGCACCGATGTTGCTTATATGGACAGTATCGAACAAAATGCCATGCACCGCAGTGCCAGCATGGGGCAGGAGGATTTGTTTTTGTCTTTTGACCTGAACTGGATGCTGCTGGGGCAGATTTATGCAAGTTGCGTGGTTGTTGGACTACATGAACTTCAGCACGATCTGAACCACCACTCTGGACCATCGTAGTATCACGCTGTAGATTGATTAGACGTTGATATTCGTTTGCAATATCATTAAGGGTTAGTTTTGGATCTTGGTCCAATCGACTTAGCAAACGTGTTCTAATGTCACTGAACTTCTGTGATTGAAGGCTGCAGATGAGAATGAGTGCTTTAAATTGGTCTTCAGAAAGCGACTTCAACCGGAAGCGTTCACATTCTCGGTTAACGATACCCACATGTGTGAGAAAATCAGCGTCTTCGTTCATAGTGAGCTTCAAACATCGATAACGCGCATTAAATAGTGAGGAGTTGTCTCCGAATTGTTGGCTCAATGACTAGACAGTGTCCGAGAATGAGCGATCGCGTGGGTTTAGAGGCAGAATTAGGTTGCAATACCTGTCTAGTTCATTAGGACCCAACTTTCGAAGCAGCAAGCGGACCTTCCAAGCATCATCCTGATTAGCAAAGTCGAACTTGAATAAGTCTTCGTAACGTCGAAACCACATATCAAACGTGATATTGGATTCTGGATCGTAATGAAACTCGGAGATACTGTTAGCGATACCATCAACTGATGGTGCAGTAGTAGTAGGATTAGAACTGCTTGGTTGAGTATTAGACGTAAGCTTTGCATCTGCAAACATCTGAATAAGTTTCATTTGCTGCTCGAGTAATAATTCAAGTTTAGAAGGATCCATGTTTCCAAAACCACCGTCGCCAAATTGTTAGGTTCGTTAACCTTGAGAATACTACTGATTCGACTTATTCGGAACGGAACGAAGGCTCAGGATTCAGAGACTCAATAGACTATTCTGGTCCGTTGTCTTCGACTCAGCTAACTCGATCAAGAAGTCTTGGTAAGGCGTAGAAAGTGTATTCTACAGACAAACAGCAGATAACAAGGCAGGCAGATCAGATCAAGCATACAAGTCAAGCGTATTTATACAATTATTTACAATCGATATTATCATAGGAAATTTTTAAACATTAATCAATGAGTTCATCAATTGACCTATTTGCGCATTTAATCGATAGTTCATCAATTGACTGCTATTCAAACATTTAATCGATAGTTCATCAATTGACCCCAATACAAATATTTAAACGTTTAATCAATAAGTTGATCGATGCGATAAAATTCAAAATATGAGTTTGGGGATCTATCGTCCCCAACATTATCATTGGTGTGTACATAAAACTGGATAGCATTTATTATGATTTCCACCTTTGTTTTGATGGATGATTTGATGACCATGGATCCATGAGATTTCCATCCTATAAGTGCATCACTTTCTTCTTTGGACAGCATCAAAGCAACTCTGTGTGTGGAGCATTTCCTTCTTCGTGACCAGAGTACAGCAGCATCTATCCTGAATCTATCCTTTTCTGTCCAGATTGGGTTCAATGGGTTTCTCTGATTCCGAGCGCTGTCAAGTTGTTTCACCTAGTTTCCGTTGCTATTTGATTGATCCCCCGGTCTCCCACATTTCTCGAACATTCCATGTTCCTGTATTAATTGTTTTTCTTGTTGTTATAAGGGACATTGGCCTCATGACTTCGGCAGAATGGAAGCTTTCACCACGAAGCACCATAATTCTTCAGGATGAAGATCCTTTAACTCCCGAGGCAGAGTTTACATGGTTTAAATTGTTTATTTTGGTTCGAGTTTTTTTTAGCAAGGTTGTTGTTTAAGGGATAGGGTTACTGGCCACATGCCTAACCATCCTTCTTTACCCGGGCTTGGGACCGGCAGTAACCCTAGTAGAGCTACAGGCGGAGTTAACTGAATAGGTGACAAAGGTTTATTTGAAATGGTATTTTGAAGAAATACTAGGTATTAATCAGCCTAATGAAATCATAATGGTTTGTGTCATACGTACGATATCTGTCGCTCAATCGAATCCATGTTTTTTTAAATTTATAACTGCTTGACTTGTAATTGAACATTATTTCGCCTTTTCTGAGTAAGCAAACGAACTTCGAAAACTACTTTTAGGATTGTTCTTTTGTCACAAATGTGAGTAAATGCTGAACAGTTAGATTGTTCAGTAAAACAATCTGAGTGTTGGTTTTATATATACCGACTTTTATCGTCAATGCTGTCACCACTTTTAACCGAATTATTGGAAGTATTTTATTAGTCACTTTAAGGTGCTAGTTTCATCACAAGAATTGTCATTTTGTTAAACAATAAGTATTTCAATATTCCTTAAAACGGTAGTCTAATAGTTAGGATACTCACCTTTCAACCAACAGTTCACAAGTTTGAACCGTGATTTACGTACTGGGGTTGCATCGCGGCTCTTTACACAGTGCCTGCGGCCCGTAGTCGCGTGCATGAACCTCTGTTTAGAGAATGAGTTGCATTAAACTAAATAATCCTTCTAATCTTCACTGCTCCATCTCGTAAAATACGGTCATTATAGTGATCAATGATTACCTGAATGTTTGAACGCTCTACACGATAGTTATTTCTTCAGTCAGAATAAGTTTGTTTAAAGCCTGGCTAAACTTTCAATGTTCTGTTTAGAAATACCGTAATTATTTGTTGTTAAACAGGTAAATCAAGTGTAACCACGTCTTACTGGTAGGTTTGCAGTGACATCTATTAGTTTATTATTGTTTTTGTCTTGAAGCCTTAACTATTCAGTTTAAGAAATAAATAGTTTTATCTATGTGTTGATGGATATTTTGATTAGAATTCTAGTGTGGTCACTATCGCCTATTCTAAGAGTTTCTGTGTCAATCGATGGCATTCATCAAGGATTCGCCGAACCAGCTAATTCACTTGAAAGTGGTAATTCAACACCTTTATATGTACTTCCATGGAATACATCTCAGTGGTCAACCAATCCGTATGCATTTCACGTGATTGAAGTCACAGCTAGGGTGAGTGAATGATTTACCCGTTTTTCATCAAACTTTCATATCTAATGTGTTGTTGAATGATAGTAATTACTGATGGTTAGAGGTGTGAAAAACTAGTTCGAAAGTTTGGTTATTGGAACGTAAACTTCCGAACACTAAACAGCCATAAAGTAGTCGAAAGAAAGATTGTATAAGAAAATAGGTTAATGTATAGTGTGCAATCCTCATTGTAATGCTAGTAAAAGCCTATATAGTCATGCTCTTAGAAAAATTGAGAATCGAGAAATCATGAGAACGTCAAACGTAAGACAGGTGCGCTCAAATAATACAATTAATGTCATTCCACAGTTAACTGAGCTATGGATGACTTTATGTGACATTGTCATGTGCACAAATCCATTGTCCAATTACCAATGAATATTGAACTGGTCTTTTTACTAATTGACAAGATGGTACAGTGTGTTTGCTCAAGCAAGTGACTTGTTACTTTATTTGTTCTATGTAGTACTAAGTGTATGAAAATAATCCGGAGTTGATTTATATTATGAATTCTCATCAGTTGAACATTTAATGAACAGCTTTATCCTGGTTTGTAAATCTGTAAATTTCATCAAATTTTCACTATATTAATATTTGTTCATGTCAAGAAAGTAAGTGAGGTTGTTTACACTGATATGTCATCGTATATTGCCAATATGTCTTATCTGAACGAATATTTCACTACTAACCCTTCATACAGGGAGTTGTGCAGATTTTATTAAGATGCCCAAAGTCGTTGAAGTCGACCAAGTTTCAGCTTTCGCAAAAAAATATTTTATAAATAGTTGTAAATGGTTTTTCTGAAATTCTAATTTGACCATCAATAATGCATGACACCATCGTTTCGTTTGTAATACCGTATATCGTGAGTATTCCGAATAGTACGATATCCACTATACCAGTGATCATTATTCTGGCACCAGACATTGAAGTATTTTTACACAGACCTTGTCATATTAACAGCGGATATTCTATTGTGCATTTTGGCTACTTGGCCACTGTAGACTATTCGACTTTGTTTACATTTTGCTTACTTCTGCCTCATATTTATTTTAAGGACGTCAACAATAATCAGCGTACAGTTGTTCAGTCGTTCAGTCTTCGAAATCGTGCTGTTTTTCCCATTGGGTTTCTATCGAAATTTTTGGTTGCCAATAGTTTGTCAGTTTTTGTAAGTTTATGATGAGTTATATTTATCAGTAAAACAAATTGATTCTCGTTATATTCGAGAAGTCTTAGGAACTTTAATATGTGAAATGAAACGTGACTCCCAAATATACTGTATATTTTAGGAAGCAATATCTGTCAACATTCTGAAGTACCCGACCGTTGTTGCTACCTTGACGTGGTGGTCGGGCTTGCCTATCGTGATGAAGCAACCGAGCTATACTGGCTGGAAAAACCGTTCCTCAAGGTCCTACCATGTCAGACAGGTCGGTTGAAGAGCGGTAAGACTAAAAGCAACAAACCCAAGGTCCGAAGGCGAAGTCGTACTGCTGACTGTTCAGAGGTGTGACGGCAGTAAGGTGTTTCCTTCAGACAACCAGCATGACAGCGATGCTGCCTTCCCACAAAAAGGGGTGGGGTTAGAAAAGGTCGACCCTAAAAATGCACACCTCACCTTACCTCACGGATTTCCGTCTCCGGCGGTAAGGCCCTTTGAAGAACGGAGCTAACACGTCAAAAACCTCCCACGAAAAGGCCGTGCGCGACCGGCCTCAAGCAGTTGTCCCTTGGGCACTGCGGTCACGCTCTCAGGTCACTGAGACCACCTCTAATCCAATTTCCTTTTCAGGTACCTCCAGAAGAACCCTTCCTCGGTGTGGGCAACCGGGAAGTGATAACCGCCCTCATACCTCTAACAGCACTCGAAACCACTGTATTCATAATCAACCTTCCTCTTCAATTCCTATTATTCCTCCTACATCGACTTTCCACTCTAAACTTCCTCTTTCGGCCTCCTCCTCAAGTGTCACCATAGTCAACGATTCTAGTGTTCAAAACCCTGTCCCACGTCTACTGAAACCTCGCTCCAAACTACACATTGGAGCCTTCAACGTACGCACCCTATGTCAAATCGGTCAGCAGGCTTCCTTGGCTAAGACCCTAGAATCTCTTTCCATTTATGTATGCTGTGTCTCCGAAACACGCACACAGGATTCCAGTGTGGTCATTCACTTGATCTCACCTCGGCAAAACGGAGAGCCAACGAGATACACCCTCCGTGTATCTGGTGACCCGATGGCCAGTTCTCGTGGACTGGCAGGTGTAGGCATAGCACTAAGCATGAGGGCGGAACAAGCACTGTTAGAGTGGATCCCCGTCAACAGTCGTCTATGTGCTGTTCTGTTAAACGGCTCCGTAAGAACTCGGAAGGATAGGGATACACGTCGTTGCCTTTTCGTCGTTTCTGCCTACGCTCTCACTGACTGCAGCTCAGATGATGTGAAAGATGAATTTTACAGAAAGCTTTCTGAACTTCTTCAGAAAGCTAAACGCTCAGACATAGTACTCATAGGGGGTGACTTTAATGCTCAGATAGGTAGCTTAAACCAAACAGAAAGGCATTTAGGTGGATATTTTAGCATTCCGGCACAGCGAACAGATAATGGTGACCGTCTGCTGCAACTATGCTCAGACAATCGCTTATTTTTAGCAAACACAAATTTTAAGCATAAGGAGAGACATCGTCTAACATGGCGACCCCCTACACCAAACCAACGATAGGCTCAAATAGACCATATTGCCATCAGTCACCGTTGGAAAGGGTCGGTATAAGATTGTCGCTCATTCTGGAGTACCTGCTTGGACTCCGACCATGCCCTAATACGGGCACGCATCTGCTTGCGCCTCACTGGACACAAAAAAGCCTCAGTAAAAAGACTCATTCGAACCGAACTGAGTAGCGAGGAAACCAAAAGTAGGTTCCAGGAACAACTGAGGTCACGATTAGGTAGTTCTGAAAATGAGGTTGACCCAGTTGTTGCTTGGAAAGCTATACAAACAGCTGTGGAAACAGCAGTGACATCTATTAGTGATTTAAACCACAGGGTTACAAAGAACCAGTGGATTTCTTCAAAGTCTATCACACTGATGGATTCTCGTAAACTCGTCCCATCAGGTTCCGAACATGATGAAGAGCGACAACAAATCAGATCTAGGTTAAGGAAAAGTCTAAGAAACGACCGTGAGCAGTGGTGGGCAATGTAAGCAAAAGAGATGGAAAAGGCGTCGACTATAGGGAACACAAGACAGCTTTACAGACTAATAAAAGAAACTGGAATTAATAAGTCAAGTGTAAGTGAGATTATATCGGAAAAAGACGATACTCTCATCTGCTCCCAGTCCAGACGTTTAGAACGATGGGCGGAACATTTCAGAGAACAGTTCAACTGGCCTTCAGCTACTCTACAACTACCCTCCATTCCCAGACAGTGTGAATGGAACATTGAAGTAGGTCCCCCAACTCTTGCTGAAGTTCAAAAGGCTATAGTTAATCTTAAACGAGGAAGGGCAGCTGGTCCAGATGGACTGGCTCCAGAGGTCTTTAAGGATGGTGGTTCAATTTTGGCGATTAGGTTGACTAATATTTTACCTAAGATCTGGGAGTTAGACGTTATCCCATCTAACTGGTCACAATCACTGATTGTCCGAATATATAAGAAAGGGTCAAAATCATCCTGTGACAACCACAGAGGGATTAGTTTAACTAATATAGTATCTAAAATACTAGCTTCGATAATTATCAGACGCCTAACTAAGACTCGTGAACTGCAAACACGAGAGACTCAAGCTGGCTTCAGACCTGGTCGTGGCTGCATCGGCCACATATTCACCATTCGTCAGATTCTAGAACACAGGCATACTTATCGGCGTCCGACAACAGTGCTCTTTCTTGACTTAAAAGCAGCATTTGACTCTGTAGACCGAACGGTTCTGTGGCAATGTTTGTCATTGGAAGGTGTACCTCAGAAGTACATAAACCCTGTGAGGGCTCTTTACTCGAACACTACTAGTCGAGTGAGAGCTTATGGCGAACTGTCATCTACTTTTGCAACCTCAAGTGGGTGTCCTTCAAGGCTGTCCACTTTCCCCATTTTTGTTTAACTTCATCATAGACCGACTGATGGAAATAACTTTCTCGTCGACTGAGTTCTCGGGTATTGATCTCCATCCACTTAGAATACGCAGATGACATAGTCCTGTTTGGTGAAGACGCTGACAAAATGCAGAGTCTTTTGGTAGCACTAAGCAACAATGCCAGAATGTTTGGAATGCGCTTCTCTCTGTCGAAATGCAAGTTGTTGCTTCAGGACTGGTCTGCGTCAGCACCTGAACTAAGGATAGGGAGTGAAGTAGTCGAACGCGTTGGCAACTTCATTTATCTTGGAAGTCTGGTCAGCCCTAATGGGTTGGTGTCTGACGAAATCTCAGCACGGATTCGAAAAGCACGCTTGGATTTTGCCAACTTGCGTCACCTTTGGCGAAGGCGAGATATCCGTCTATCAATAAAAGGACGGGTATACTGCGCGGCAGTCCATTCTGTTTTACTTTACGGCAGCGAAACATGGCCATTAAGAGTAGAAGACACTCGTAAGCTATTAGTATTTGACCACAAATGCCTTAGAAATATTGCTGGCATCTGCTGGGATCACCGGGTAAGTAATAGTGAGGTTAGACACAGGGTATTAGGAAATGATGGTAAATCAGTTGATGAGGTTATGAATCTTCATCGACTGAGATGGTTGGGCCACGTGTTACGTATGCCTGAACACCGATTACCACGACGTGCAATGCTATCCGGTATTGGAGATGGTTGGAAGAAAGTTAGGGGCGGCCAAACCAAAACGTGGCATCAGTGCTTGAAGACACTAACTTCTAGTCTGCGCCATGTTGGTAGATGCACACTACTTGGTTGGGGTCCGCGTGACTATCGTAACCAATGGTTGGAGACTCTTGGTGACATGGCTCAGAGTCGATCACAATGGCGTCGGTGTATACATTCCCTGTCTTCCCTTAAACTAAGAGATTAAAATCACTTCATATCTTTCTTTCTACGAACCAATTCTTTCTTCTTGTACTATATCTCAATATGCAATCTTTCTCTTATATATTACCACCTTTGACCTAACCACTGCTGTGAATCCGGTGTTCATTTTGTTGTGCTGATGCGGTATGGCAACCTGGACCGATGCACATATGTGCCTGGTCCTACGTTGTAGCTGACTGACTGACTGACTGACATTCTTAGGTAAATACAAACCCACTTAGTTTTACTTAAGGAGAAAACACTTGAAGGGTATTGATTTGTGGTATAGGGGAAGTAGCGAAATATATTCCTAAAACAGTCATCGACGTTTCCTTTTTACGAGACTTCTTTTCATACGGTAGTGTCCCTATATGATTGAAAGCAACAGCTTCATATCATAATTATCGGTGGCCGTTAAAACTTATCCAAGCCACTAGTAACAATAAGCTTCCTGTCAGTGAAGCGATATCTAAGGTTCGTGACACCCTAACTAGTAATCTCTTTGGATACCTTGAATCCTAGACGAGATATTCTGAGGAGGGTTTAATTATTTCTTGACTCTAATGACTTGGACTGTGTTGTACTCCTTGGTTGGTGGCCAATAAGTTCCTTCAATGGTACAGAAATCGAGAAAAAACTCTAGCTTTATGACTCGTCCAGTCTTCTGATTCTTCAATCTCATCATCGATGTGATCATAAAAATGGCTTCAAAAGAAGTACTTGACGATTATCGTGTTGATGTTTTACCTGGAACAGTCATTTTGAATTCAGGTATACAGAGTAGATTGTGTTACTATGTATGACATAAGTTACATAAATCGGTTGAGATGGCTGGGACATGTGTTACATATGCCCAACCATCGACTGTCCCGACGTTTGATGTTTTATGGTGTAGGTGAGTAGGTCGGAAGAAAGCTAGGGGTGGCCAGACCAAAACATGGCACAAATCCATGAAGTCACTGACAAGTGAACTGAGCCATGTTGGTAGGTGTACACTACTTGGTTGAGATCCGCGGTGATATCAACCGATTGTTAGAAACTTTGAATGACATGGCTCAAAATCGTTCGCAATGGCGCAGGTGCATCCACTCTTTGTGTTCTCCCAAATTCTAGTCTGAATTCTTTATGTCCTTTTTTTCCTCTTCCCAAATTTATTTCAGTGGATCATACTCTTTAAATAACATCTCCAAACCGTAATGTTTCCGATTGATGCTTATACTCTTATTACCTCTACCACTACGGGATTTGAATCGACCACTGCATCTCTGTGCTAATGTGGTATGGCAACTCGAACTGATGTACGTACGTACGAAGTTCTACGTTGCTACTGACTGACTGACTGACTGACTGTCTATATACATCACATCTAATCACTTGACACCGTGTCCTCAAATGTATAATTTACTTCACACATCATCCTGTAATACATTCTATTTCTTCGCTTGTGGATTGCACGATGCTTACTGATTCTTTATCCCACCAACTTATCAACTTGTACCGCATGACGTTTATTATTGGATCCTTAGGTCCCTTGAATACTATTACTGAAACAATGATGGAACCGTTTTCTCAACTGAGCTAATCATAAATGGAGCAAGACTGCTTAACATTAGTTATTTTGAACTGATTTGGTACTTTGACTGAGAAATTTTCAATAGAGTTGATGAGTGTTTCGGATTGTTATTCAATACTGTTTTGGTTAGTCTTTATTACCATTAGTTCTACCTGATATTGCCAGGAATTTTGTCGCATGATAATTGTTAATTCTATCGAAGTATCCAACTGCTACGCTTGAAGCGATTACGATATCACCTGAATTTGGCGAACGGAACGAAGGGTCAGCAACACAACAACAAGACAATCTAAACTATTCACTGCATCCCAGCTCTGTTAACTAGAGGGCGGAGACCAGATTCAGCCGAGTGAAAGGTATGTTCCACAAGCAGGCAGGAGCACGAACGAACAAGCACACAACTCAAGTGTATATATCCAGTATAAAAGTGTCCTTGGGAGACGTCGTAAAATAGCGTATTAAAAGAGGGAATGACCCAATTACGTTTCAGATCTTTCCAGGTGGGAAATACAAAATGAAGGTAAAAGTGGGCACTTTTGACACGAAAATGAGAAATCTAAATTTTCAAAATAAATCACGAAAATAACACGTCTGTGAAGTGATTTCTGGGGACTTGCATCCGCAACATCAACTATACGACCGAGTTACGCTTGAAATCGAGGATCAAAACAATGAATGTCTATTATCAAATTGCGTTTCTCAAATCGTTAGTCATCTATGGTGAATAACGCGTCTGTAAAGAGAATGACATCCGGTCGCTTTGTCTGAAGTCAATAATGACTATCAACAATGAAAACGGAGACTAAGAGTAAACAATTATGGCAGGCTGCAGTGGAATGTCTTCGAGGTGATCCCGACGACGTATGAATTTCAGAAGACGGCACGAAGTGATGACTTCATTTTATTATTGTACAAATTGTAAGTATTTCGCCTCATAATAAAGTCATAAGACCGGTCACTGAGTATCTAATACAGCGTATAAGGAAATGATGGTTTTGTAATGAACTCTTATTACGGCCCAGTCACTCTTATTGCTTAGTATTCTTGGACATTGTTTCACTGGACAAGTCCCCAAACCAGAACACATTTAAACAGGTATGCAATTATAATCCAAATAAACAAGGTCGAATGGAAGTAGGAATCACAATAAGGAAAACGTTGGTGTGTTTATAAATTTTACACAAGAATATTCGGCGAGACAATAATTTATAGGAGGACCAATCAGACATAAGATAACAGGTTTTGGATTTTGGCGCGAAATGCATTCATCCATTTGGCTAAGTAACGTTTTGGCATTTAAGCTGATGTCGGTTCGTGATGGAAACCTCAAATCTAATTCCTAACCGTAACCATCAACTGCAAATCATAATTCTAATTTCTCACACTGGTTTATAATCCTCACTTAGTCCTAGTTAGTAGGTGGGCATCTCCAAGGTCACTTCAATGTCGCTCAACGATCGTCCACAAGTTATGACCTCACCGAATATTCTAGAGTATTCTTTTAAGTATCCGCTAGCGCCAGGAAATGGTCAGTCAGCGTGCCTCAACACAATCGTGCACAGAACATGCCTTAATCCAATCTGTATACCATTAACAGGTTTTATAATGGAAACAAATTCAGACGAGTATTTGACCAGTACTTTTCTGAATTTATAAATTTTTCCTCTTGTTTTGTGTGACGAAAGCAGTTTGAAGCAAATTATTTCATTTTTACTGTTGTGTATAACACAGAGTGTTAAACTGCTTTTTTTAATACTAAAAACTGAAGAATATGGATTTTAGTCGCCACATCTAAAAGAGTCATACACTCCTTGCCGATAACATCTAATGTTTCAGTTATTATTCAAATACTAGTCATCCACTATGTTAAGATTCGATGTTTTCAGTTTACTAAGTTCTTGTACACCACGTAGCTAAAATTTCGTAGGTTTGTATCCGATTGTTCAAGTGGTTTAATCTAAAATGAACTTTATTTTGACTTTTGTTCTGTTCACTATTGTTTGTTTATTAACACCTGAAATAAATAAACCACAGTTTTTGTTGTTTTCTGTAGATAATAATTAAGCACTTTAGTATTTCAGTTTGTTACAAAAGTCTGTTTATGTAAACCTTGTCTAGTCGGGTTATTTTCAAATCTCTACTTATTTTCGGGACTTTTATGATGTGTGATTTTGACATAACATACAAAATTTACCTACTAATAAATCATTCGTATTTTAAGTAATCTATTGACTGTAAATTATCATTTGTAAATATTCGTGTATGCTATTAGTCCAGATGATGCAACTATTTTCCCATCCATCGTACATAAGGTGCACGAATTCTACTACATTTATTTATTGTTTGCTAGTTCAGATAAGTTAACTTGTTCATTTTTGTACTTCGTAAGCAGTAAGTGATCGATTGCTTTTAGTGTGCCTTGTTTTTCAGACTAACCAAGCCGTCAGTTCATGAGAATGTCAATGATGACTCTAAATTGTGTGTAAGGATGTAGATTTCCAAGCTTGTAGCTCTCAGAATAGTCTCAATATGGTTGAATACCTCAAGAGAGTTAGCTTAAATTCAGTCTCACTACTGAAGTTTGTTCTGATCTCTTATCTTTCTACCTGTGTCATTCCACGTCTTGCATTCTTTGATCACGTTTGTTTGATTGGAACTGTTCCTTGTGTTTAGTTTTCCATTGTAGCTGTGATTATTTCATCTGTTTCATCTTGTCGATTTCCCCTCTCGCTTTTTTGTGGTAACTTGGATCAGTTTCCACTTGTACTAAGTCGTAAGTTGCGTTTCACTGATTCACTTGTCCCTTATTCGTTGTAGTGTCCAGATTTTACAGTACAAGCCAAAAAATGAACATATCTTTGAAAAAAGAGCAAAGTATAAAGTATAATTTCTGTTATTATTTTAGGTTTCTGCACTTTATTATACTTTATGGATAACAGTATTCACGTTTGTGGTATCACCGCTTTTAATTCGTCGTCTGAACTTACGTAAGTTTGTATTTGTAATTAATGAGTACATGGTAATGAAACACCACAGATACTTCAAAATTGTGAAAATACATGCTCTAGCCTACTTCTTGTTTGTTTATTAAAATAATCAACTTTCAGATATTAGTTTTAAAACTTAAACACCACTCCACGTACTTTGGTTTAGGCAGTTGTATGATATCCTTAATTTTCAAATACAATTGTTTCATTTAAAACAGGTTATCTTGATATATTTTGGGTTACTAATCTGAATCAACCCAAATAGTTAAAATGATAATGTCTCTTATTTTAAGATTCCATCTAAATTTCTTATTTTATCTATTTTAATTAATTGATAAGTCACCAAAGAGTTTAGAGTGTTTTCGACCTCTTGAAAATCATCATATTTTTGTCATCGATTTCAGTTAACGTAGCCATTTCTTGTTCTGTGTTCTGCTGACTGTCATTCAGTATTGAAATATTAGACTTTGTACTGGCGGAGTAACGAATCGTCTCCGAAAATCAAATTGTTCTAGGTGTCAATCTGTATTTCTCTGTATCCCTGTTTCCCTTACCCTTTGATCAATCAAAAACTAGTTCTAATCGTCCAATAGAGAGCGTGCTTTCAGATGAATAAAAGCTGTTAGTTTCTATGGCGCAGCATTTTAAAAATCTCATTACTGATGTCGTGTTTCACATATTGATATCGAACAGAGAAGTGCAGAAAATATTTTGACAGATGTTTGTTGGCGTTGGATTTCCAAGTGATGAAGAGTTAGTTAGACAATTAACAGTTTATGGGAATCAAACTTTCTGTCGTTTCGTTATTCGGGTTAGTCATTGCTATGAGGACGAATTTTACATTAAATATGTATGCAGGACGGAAGGGTACCATCAGCGACCGACGACACCATCATCACAAAGGTATGTTTCCTCAAATATCCTGTATGTAATATGTTAGGCGAGTTATTGTTTGTCGATATCGGTCCTTCGCCCATGTCCTTGCGGTAGATGGATTTCTCACTGCAATTAAATCACGAATGACTCATAATCATGATATACTACGCGTTGTTCATGAGTGCAGCGCATGAACCCTTCGTGTGACGGGAGATCAAATGAAGAGAATCCGCCCTTTACTGCTGTCGGGAGCTGCAGCCATTGTATTAATTAACTTGGTTTACAAAACATACGAAAATTCAATCATTGGACATAACGTCTTCAGTATGCGGTGCTGTGTGTTTGAGCAGACACTATTCCTAGGTTTTTCAATTGTTTTCACAATGTTGAATTAATAGGTAGCTTCAATACATTCACAGCATACATCGTCCATCTGGGAAGCGAAGCAGAGACACAGATACGACTTGGATTACAAGGAGAACATGAAAGGGTTCTCTATATGGCCATTGTACTCAATGATTTAACAGTCTTCCTTTTTTTTTCTTGAAACTAAGAGTTCTCAAAAAAATGAAGAATAAATTTATGTATACGGATTTTTAGCAAATAAATGTAACTTACTGCTGTTGTTGTTATGGCGATCCCAAATGTTCCTGGATAAAATCCAGAGAGGGTCCGGAAACGCTGGGAAGCATTCTGTGCAATCAGCGTTGAATATAAGTTTCTGAGAAACATCGGGGAATTGATGAACCACGTGTATTATTTCCGTTTGGATGATTACCTGTCCCACTGCAATGTTTAAGTTCTACAACTTTGACTAGGCAATAAAATTATTCCTCTAAACTGTTAGGTCAGCCTATATTGAAAATAATTAACGATGTTTACATTGTGACGAACACTGATTAACTACAAAATAACTTAGACTTAGGGTTTCTTTTAATCACTTATTCTTAGTGATCCTGTCGTTCTGTAAACTGTGTTCATGTGACTCAGTTTGTCAATTGTTTGCATTATTCACCTGAAATTGATAGTAAGATAATGGTAACTGGGTGGCAGAACTGTGTTAACAAAATGAAGACTCTTGACTTAAATATTATAGATTTTCCATAGATTTCATGTTGTTTTCCCATTTCAAATCCAAAATTCAATCGTTGATTTGTTTGTGATTGAAAACGGATGAGGGAATTTATTTATTGTGGTCTAATTTTGCTGATGGCTACCTAATATACCTATTGATGATTTCAGTTCAACGTGTACAAAATTCTTCGTGCAATGTACCTTGATTATTTCCTATATTTTAGTGGCTTCGTAATATGCTAATAACGCCTAAACAAGTAATATTGAGATTTTACTATTGAAAATCGAATTTCCTGAAAACCATAATGTTATGCTTAACATTTAATTGAAATGCTGCCGAGAGTAATTTTCAGCATATATTGATATCAGTTGGGATCATGAACACCAGCAAACAGTCATTTTGTTTTAGTATGCGGTTTTTCTTCAGTTTGCACCTACAAATGTTTATGGGATTGAACCTGGGGTCGTCACGGATAGACCAATAGCTTTGGGCCGACATCTGCTTGTGACGAAAAGCATTAACATTAGATTTAGAAGGTAATCATATAGAACTCAGTAAAATTAGTGGTTCCTCTATTTTGATAAATAATTTGCAACATTGGTGTACGGTAATCTAATTAGATTGATGCAAAATCCACTGTCCACTTAAAAGTGTTGCAACTTTTTGTACCATTTAGGAAATTTGAACTAACTGTGTATAAGTAGAATGATAAATAACATTTTGTTTAAGTTTATACGAAGGAAGCCATATTTATAAAGTTCAACTTCTATTTACTAAACCATGCTCAATCACAACTCCGCCTGTAGCTCTTATAGGGTTGCTGCCGGTCCCAGGCCCGGGTAAAGGAGGAGGGTTGGGCATGGCGTTAGCGTCCCCATCCCGTAGAAAACTAACTCGCTAAAAAAACGCTTACCAGAAAAAATAATCCAAACCATTTTAACTCTGCCCTGGAAGTTAGAAGGTCTTCATTTAGAAGAATTATGACGCTTCATGGTGAAAGCCGAGTTCCTTCGGAAGCCACGAGGCCGATGCCCCTTCTAACAACTAGAGCAAAAAATTTTATAGGTATATGGAACGTTCGAACAATGTGGGAAACCGGGAAGACCAGTCAAATATCAATCTAAATGAGGAGATACAACTTAGCAGTACTGGGAATCAGCGAAACCCAAGCTGTACAGAAAAGGCTAGCTACGGGAGAGATGCTGCTATTCTCCGGTCACGAAGAGGACAATGCTCCACACACTCAGGGAGTCGCTCTTATGCTGTCCGAAGTAGCACGAAATGCACTTGTAGGATGGGAATCTCACGGATCCAGAATCATCAAAGCATCATTCAAAACAAAGAAGGAGGGGATCTTAATGAATATTATCCAATGTTATGCACCAACCAATGATAGCAACGACAAAATTAAAGGTCAGTTCTACGAGGGGCTGCAGTCAATCATTAAGAAATGCCCAAGAAAGGACCTAACTATTCTGATGGGAGATCTAAATGCCAAAGTCGGAATAGACAACACCGGAAATGAAGATATCATGGGACGACATGGACTGGGAGAGAGAAACGAAAATGGGGGAAGATTTGCAAATCTATGTGCATTCAACAAATTGGTCATAGGAGGCACAATATTCCCACACAAATGTATACACAAGGCTACATGGATCTCACCGGACCACACTACAGAGAACCAAATAGATCATATTTGCATCAACAAAAAATTCCGAAGGACAATGGAAGATGTGAGAACCAGGAGAGGTGCTGACGTAACTTCAGATCACCACCTAGTTGTGGCCAATTTAAAACTGAAGCTAAAAAAGAACTGGAAAACTGGAGAAACAGTACTACAAAGGTTCAATACAGCCTTCCTTCGAGACACTGACAAACTCAATGAATTCAAGATAGCTCTCAACAACAGGTTCCAAGCCTTTCAAGATCTACTGAAGGAAGAAGAAACTACCATGGAGGACAACTGGAAAGGCATCAAAGAAACATTGACTTCAACGTGTCAAGAGGTTCTGGGCCTAAAGAAACACCATCATAAGGAATGGATCTCTATAGAAACACTGGACAAGATCAAAGAAAGGAAGAACAAGAAGACAGCAACTAACAACAGCCGAACACGAGCAGAGAAAGTCCAAGCACAAGCTGAATACATAGAAGCAAACAAGCAAGTGAAGAGGAGCATTATAGCCGACAAGAAGAAATACGTGGAAGAACTAGCAACGACAGCAGAAAAAGCTGCTCGAGAAGGAAATATGAAACAGCTTCACGATACAACGAAGAAACTATCAGGGAAATACAGTAAACCAGAGAGGCCGGTCAAAGACAAAGAAGGTAGGAAAATCAACGAAATTCAACAACAGCGTAGATGGGTAGAATACTTCGAGGAACTCCTGAATAGGCCGGCTCCAATGAATCCACCGGACATCGGAGCAGCACACATAGATCTTCCTATAGATGTCAATCCAACAACTACGGAAGAAATTAGAATGGCCGTCAGACAAATCAAGAACGGGAAAGCAGCAGGACCCGACAACATACCAGCTGAAGCACTGAAATCAGACATCGAAGCAACCACAAGCATGCTTTATCTTCTCTTCAAAAAGATTTGGGAGGAGGAACAAGTGCCGATGGACTGGAAAGAAGGACACCTCGTCAAGATTCCAAAGAAAGGAGATCTGAGCAAATGTGAAAACTACAGAGGCATTACACTACTGTCAATACCAGGGAAAGTGTTAAACAGATTGTTGCTGAACCGGATGAAGGATGCAGTAGATGCGCAACTTCGAGATCAACAAGCTGGATTCGGTAAGGATCGATCGTGCACAGACCAAATTGCGACACTACGGATCATCGTCGAACAATCAGTTGAGTGGAACTCATCACTATACATCAACTTCATTGATTATGAAAAGGCATTCGACAGTGTAAATAGGAGGACATTATGGAAACTTCTTCGACACTACGGAGTTCCTGAGAAGATTGTCAATATTATCCGGAACTCATACGACGGACTACAGTGCAAAGTAGTGCATGGAGGACAGCTGACAGATGCATTCCAAGTAAGGACCGGAGTCAGACAAGGCTGTCTACTCTCTCCCTTCCTCTTTCTTCTGGTGGTCGACTGGATTATGAAGACCTCGACATCTGAAGGAAAACACGAAATACAATGGACAGCTCAAAACCAATTAGACGATCTGGACTTCGCAGATGACCTAGCCCTCCTATCACGTACACACGGACAGATGCAGATGAAGACAGCCAGTGTAGCAGCAGTCTGTGCATCAGTAGGCCTCAGCATACACAAAGGGAAAACTAAGGTCCTCAAATTCAAAGCGGAGAACAGCAATCCAATCACACTTGATGGCGAAGCTCTGGAAGATGTAGAATCCTTCACATACCTGGGAAGCATCATCGATGAACAAGGAGGTTCAGATGCAGACGTAAAGGTGAGGATCGGCAAAGCAAGGGTCGCATTCCTACAATTGAAGAACATATGGGACTCAAAACAACTTTCAACCAACATCAAAGTGAGAATCTTCAATACGAACGTCAAGGCAGTTCTACTGTACAGAGCTGAAACAACCACCATCAAGAAAGTACAAGTATTTATAAATAGCTGTCTACGCAAGGTACTCAACATTCATTGGCCGGATACCATCAGCAATAGCCTTCTGTGGGAAAGAACAAACCAACTTCCAGCTGAAGAAGAAATTAGTAAAAGACGATGGAGATGGATAGGACATACATTACGCAAATCGTCAAACTGCATCACGAGGCAAGCCCTAACTTGGAATCCTGAAGGGAAGCGGAAAAGAGGAAGGCCAAAGAACACATTGCGTCGGATAATAGAAACAGATATGAAAACGATGAATTACAACTGGACGGAGCTAGAAAGGATTGCCCAGTACAGGGTTGGATGGAGAATGCTGGTGAGCGGCCAATGCTCCTTCAAGAGGAGTAACAGGCGTAAGTTAGTAAGTAGCTCAATCACAAAATGACGTTTGAGGAATTTCTAATGGCATAATTTTAACAATCATAATTAAATTGAATATTTTGCTGTATTTTGTTATTTAGTTGTACATCTGTTACGTACAAGACTCGGTAGAGGTATGTACCAGATATCGTCAACCAAAAAACTATTGCTTCCTATCTTGGTGTTTATGGTGTATCAGATTTCATGTAAGTTTTAGAATGGAGTTGATTTCTGCTTCACTATTTTAATCTCTTCTCTTCAAAAACAATAAAATTAGAAGACCCTGGTGGGTTGATATATAATTGTTCCGTCAATAGAAAATCTATTGACATGAATATAAGCATAATTTGTTTAAAGTCTCACGTCATGACCTTGTTTGTTCATGGGGATTCAATAAGAAATGTGATTTAACTTATTGCTGTCCCATGCTAACTATTGTTAATATCGAATTATTCAGTTGGGCTTTCATTACTGCAAGTTAATAATGCACAATTTCTATATGATGGGAAATGTTGCTCTTCGTCATGATTGGCGCCTGTCTATCCAGGAGTAGAACTTCATCAATGTTTTTTAAGAAATCAGCTCTGTATTTCGTTTTATGTATGAAATCAATTTTTGGAAACAGTAGGTTTTCTATCATCAAGAAGACTTTCATATTCCCTGTAAAAGGAAGTATGGTTTTCCTGTAGGTTGTTGAAACGTTCCGCTAACGTTAGAAGCTAACTTATTTATTTGTTGTATATTGCTTTCCGTTAGAGTTTGATTATTTATCCCTTTGATTGTTATCCATCTACAACTTAGTGTTGTACTCTGTATATGTGCTCAGTATATGTACGTACCTTGTTATAGAGTTTAGGAAGTTAACTAAATTCCACACTTGAAAATATATTACTTATCTTAAATTTATTTTTCTCTATATATTAAGGTCCACTTTTCATGGGTTATCTAGTAGCTGATAAATTTGGCTTTGTTTTCTCATTTGGTATTTATATTGACGGTATTTACATACCAGAAAGACTGACTTATGTGCTTGCAGAAAGTCAGGTAAATAATATCTATATAAATTGTTTATATTTACTATGTTTATTGTTTTCACTCAACCCCATATCCTATAAGCCATACAATTGATAATCAATTTAATTTGAGGCGAACACAATCGTTTTACAGTGTAAGCGAAGTGAAATTAAGTGAATATCATGTCATCCTGGTCGATTTGGTTTTGTAAGAAACATGTTGGTGTGTTTGTGTAACCGCTCAGTAATCAAAATTAAAATGAGTACTCACTCCATCTGACAGTATCATTAGCTAACATGCAAAACGTATGACTTATAGCCGACTATATAGTTGTTGAATTACATTAATTTTCTTACTGGAAATGTTTAAATTGAGTAGTTACTTAAAGCATAGTTTTTTTCACTTTTAATGATAAAACCACATAACTATTCATCGTCCTGTATTACATATTTTTATTAATTTTGTCCTAAATTCCACTTCACAGCTATTTGCATTTGGTTTATATCTGTTGTTGTTTACTTATCATTGTGGTCATCAACAATATAATCCAATTTATCCATGGAATAGTGGTGAGCCGTCGGAGCAATATTCAAACAGTGTTTGTAAAGATGATATTCACTCAAATGTGCTGTTCATCCGTTTACCAAAATTTCGCTCTTCATCTTCTTTGCTTATCATAACAGTTATTTACATATCGCTTCAATTGATGTTTAATTTTATTTTTATTTGGCTACCCTATGGTTTTGTAGCGAGCCTTTTAAGTCCAGGACTTGTAATCCCTGTATGCGTTGCATGTATTTTATATATCTATTGTCCACAACCTAATCATGTGAAACATTGTATTCAATAAATGTTCATTTCTTTTTTTATTTTGTACTGTTTAAACGTTTGTTTTCTTTGATTTGGTATCTTTTTAATTCTGTGTGCTCATTCAGTGATGATATATCATATTTTTTTCTCGTAGTTAACCAAACACATGTTTTACCATAGCTGTGATAAACATATATTTGCATTATTTGTTGTATTATTGTTTGATTGTATCCACTATGTGTAGTTCATTTGAAGCAGAAAAATACTTATGTGAAAACAAAACCGAAAAGTAATCAACATAACTATCACCTTAAACTATTAGATTTAAAGAAATAAAATTACTTACTACTGAGTAATTTATATGCCTAGTTCATTATGTGGTCTTAGTACTAAAACTAGGAACCCGAAACTTCAGTAACAATTAAGAACCACGCTTCCACTTCGGCGTGAGTAGTAAATTATCGTTACTTGACACCACACAAATATTTGAACTCGTTTTGTTAGACAGAATATGTCAGTCAAATTATTTGTGTCATTCAGAAAAGTGGTATTCCTTCATGTAGTGTCCTACTCAATTATTTGTTTCTTATTCGTGATTTCCTTTTACATGATCTACCTATCGCAACAGTCTGGTTAACTTGTGGCTCTAGATTCCTTTTATGATTCGCAAGTTACTGTTTGATTAATTATAATTTGTTCCTAGGTTAGAATGGATTGTGTTTTAGAAACAGACACTACAATGATACCAGAAGAAAACTGATCAACTCAGACCGCGTAGCAGAATTTTGGAGTAACATCAATCGTTGTAAATTTTCTGATTGCGTCCATGAAAAATGTCTTAGTAATTGTGCGGGAGAATCTCCACACAGCAAATTGACAGGCTGCAGTTTTATGGTCACTGCCTGGGAATTTAAGATTAGCATATTCATTTTATTTTGGGACATTATGGACGAAGGTTATGTCAAATATACCAGACTTTCTAGTAGACTTACTGGCTATCCGTGTTCATCTGCTTGTTACTACCACTTCAAAGAATATTTAAAGACGGGGATGACGTTTACATTTCAATTGACAGGTAGTGTATTGTAATCGCCACCTATAAAATTGACCATAGGCAAGAACGTCAAGTACACAAGTGCTTGGTTTAGCTGTGTATCCATTACAGAAGCGGCAATTGGTGATCGATTATAGAACTCTGTTGGGTACAATGATCTACGGTGACGAATAATATGTTCACGCAACGGCTGACAACTTTATGGGAAGATTATAGTCGACATAATATCAGATCGTACATATATACAACCCACATTTTTTCCCTGTATTTTTGTCTTGACGGCACATTTCGTAACTATCAATGCAGTGTTAAGTCAGAAATATAAGGTGTTCACCAGGCTACAGCAATTTAAATTCAGCATGGAATGGTCTAGTAAGATAGAGATACAAGATGAACCATCTTATAGCAGGAAAAGCGTGAATTTTAAAAAAATAATGGAAAGGTGTAAAGGGATAACGAAATTGGATAAATCACAGCTAACCTGGTGAGTGGAGTTATTTTCATTGACATCTAACCAACTGAGATTTAGTGATGTCTCCTCATAGTTAACTGATTATCCCCCGGCGATGAGATGTGGTAGTTGTTCGAGGGGATCATGATGATTCACTTGAGAAATTTGCAGGAATATCTGAAGTAGGGTGGTACAAATCGGTAAGTGATTTACCTGGATACTGGTTGAAGGTTACAGTCTTGAAGCTGTCGCAGCTAACAGGGATCGCAAGTCATGAGAAAGGATTATCACTCGTTTTACTTGGATATGTAGAAGGTTGCCTTTCATTCAGGGCCTATCGCGTATTAGTAGACATGTCATTAAGTGACCCACCAAGATAAATTAGGTGACAGTATCTTCAGTGAATGAGTTGCTGTTACCCTCATGAGTGCGATATGAGTTCAACGCTAGGTGTTGGTTACTCTTTGATAGCTCGTTTGGCTGGTGGCAAGAGTTAGAGGGATCAGGTAGCAAGCCATGAAGTTGGAGTGTGGATACTGTCTGATTGAACTTCCACCAAAGAAGTGAGTTTACAATTCACATGTGGATTGAGATGACTTAAGCCAGGTGCCACTAGGGGTCGTATTTCAAAAATCTTCTACAAACTGATTGTACAGTGTACCGCTCTTGATTGTTAATCTCATAGTTCGAGTTAATAGCCATTTGTTTTAGTGTTAGATTGGGTAAGATCTGCTGTACGTGGTTGTAAGTTGTTCAGACCATTTTTATGTTTTAGAGCCATTTATGTTCGGTGGGTTTGTAAATTTGACTATGGAAAATTTTCGTCCTCAAAGTAATTGCGACTGTGACCCTGGGGGTTTCAGGTCGAGTTTAGAGTGAGAAATCTATTACCACCGTACTTACTGATAGTTCGGAGCTTTATTGGGTGAGTAATAATGTAGAAAACAAAATATCAACACAGAACCAACGATCCAAAGTTTATTTGACTAGACCAAATCACGTTCTGTGTAACATACGAATCGTTTTAGGTGACTCGTATTAGGTTTTATCGAAATGCAAACTCTATTTTTAATTTAAACGGTTTTGATTCAAGAAAGGGAGTTAGTTATACTAAAAGTTTCAAATGCCTCAAACGGTACATTAAATAAGAAAGAAAGATTAGTTCAGCGAAGAGTTCTCTTTTCGGCGAATTCATTTTCAAAGCTGTACAATCGCAAATATATATACTTATTTTTACAGGGTGGTAATAATACTGATAATAAACTTATGATATACATGGTGACAGTGAGGTTAAATAAACAAATGTATTAGAAAAAATTTTTTTTAGAAACAAGGAAGGTTTGATAGATAATGGCTTAGATAGTCATCGGGTAAGAGTAGCGCAGCATGATAAAATAACATAAAATGTTGAAACAGAGATGAAATGTAATCGGAATGATCGTTGAAATAAAAACAAACCGGTTGGGGGTACAAGATTTGAAGGGAAGATGGAAGGTGAAGCAGGTGGCTGTAAAAGAACAAGAGTAATGAGAAAGAGAAAAAAGAGAAAAAAATTTTAATACATTAAGACCACGGTAAAAGAAGAGGTTGTACCAGTCTCTTTTGTACACATAATTCTGGTTTTTCAAAATGTATGGCTATTGCCTCGGCAATGCAAAGGAGATGTAGTCTAATTGTCTTAGGAAGGTTTCTACTTACCTTGTAGATGACTTTGAACGCAGAGTCTGTCTTGATTGAGTGACCTGTGTTCACAAGGTGTTCGATTATAGAACTTCTTATTGAACCGCTGCCTCCTCTTCTTAGTCACGCCGGACAATGTTCTTGAATTCTTTTGGATAAAGTACGCATCGAACGACCTATATACCTAGCTCCACAAGAGCAGGTAAATTGGTAAATGCACATTGAATTGGTCAGATGCGATAATTTATCTTTCAGATTATTGGCGAACAGTGATCGGCTGGAGAATAATATTCGCAATGTTGCTGCGAAAAATGTTCTTTTTAAGGAATCTGAAATTCTCCTCTTTAAGATATGTGCGGCTCTGTCGCCTTTGAAGTCGATGTTCATGTATAAAATTTTCTTTTCTACTGCAGTGGTTTGTGGTCTTGGCATTTTCGGTTTCATATTCTTATCAATGAATATAGAAGGATATCCGTTTTTGATAAGTATCTCTTTTAAAAAACTCAATTCTTCCTCTACGACCTCAGGGCTACAGATTCTTCGTATTCTTGTGGCGAGAGTGATTATTAAGTATCTTTTTCGGCTGATGGGAACCCAACTGTGGAAATTTGATAGCTGGCCATTCCATATGGGTTTCCTGTAGATAGATCTTTTTAAAGTACCATCTTGTTTCCTTGTTATATCTACATCAAGGAAGTGAATATTTTGTTTGTTTTCAACTTCAATTGTGAATTTTATTGATGGGTGACAATTATTAAATGTATTTAGGAGATCACTTAAGTTACATTTGTTATCACAAATGATAAAGATATCATCCATATACCTTATATATAAGTGGAGGTTTTCTATAATTCTTTTAAGTTGGTTGTTTTCTAAACTGGCCATGAAGCAATCTGCCAGTAATGGACCAAGTGGGGATCCCATTGCTATACCATCCTTCTGTCTATAAATTACGTCGTTGAATGTGAACTGTACATTGCAAGTACAACGTAGTAATAATTCCTTCAAATAAACCTCAGGTATCCCAATGTTTATCTCAGTATTGTTTATGTACTTGCAGATAAAATTAATGGTTTCTGTAAGTGGGACATTAGTGAATAATGATTCCACATCCAGAGATAGCATAATTTTGCCACTTACATTCACTTCTTTTATGTGCTCGATAAATTCAAAAGTATCGCGTAGAAAAGAAAATTTTATACATGAACATCGACTTCAAAGGCGACAGAGCCGCACATATCTTAAAGAGGAGAATTTCAGATTCCTTAAAAAGAACATTTTTCGCAGCAACATTGCGAATATTATTCTCCAGCCGATCACTGTTCGCCAATAATCTGAAAGATAAATTATCGCATCTGACCAATTCAATGTGCATTTACCAATTTACCTGCTCTTGTGGAGCTAGGTATATAGGTCGTTCGATGCGTACTTTATCCAAAAGAATTCAAGAACATTGTCCGGCGTGACTAAGAAGAGGAGGCAGCGGTTCAATAAGAAGTTCTATAATCGAACACCTTGTGAACACAGGTCACTCAATCAAGACAGACTCTGCGTTCAAAGTCATCTACAAGGTAAGTAGAAACCTTCCTAAGACAATTAGACTACATCTCCTTTGCATTGCCGAGGCAATAGCCATACATTTTGAAAAACCAGAATTATGTGTACAAAAGAGACTGGTACAACCTCTTCTTTTACCGTGGTCTTAATGTATTAAAATTTTTTTCTCTTTTTTCTCTTTCTCATTACTCTTGTTCTTTTACAGCCACCTGCTTCACCTTCCATCTTCCCTTCAAATCTTGTACCCCCAACCGGTTTGTTTTTATTTCAACGATCATTCCGATTACATTTCATCTCTGTTTCAACATTTTATGTTATTTTATCATGCTGCGCTACTCTTACCCGATGACTATCTAAGCCATTATCTATCAAACCTTCCTTGTTTCTAAAAAAAATTTTTTCTAATACATTTGTTTATTTAACCTCACTGTCACCATGTATATCATAAGTTTATTATCAGTATTATTACCACCCTGTAAAAATAAGTATATATATTTGCGATTGTACAGCTTTGAAAATGAATTCGCCGAAAAGAGAACTCTTCGCTGAACTAATCTTTCTTTCTTATTTAATGTCATAATGGGTGTATTCCGTTTATTAAAAAGTTGAAACGGTACAGCCTGAACTATACAGTCAAGGGTTCCCCAAACACAAACTAACCTTATAAAGAACAGAAGGAATAATTAATAAACAAGGAGTTAATGCCTGAGAATCAATGAAAATGTTCCCA